CATCGCTTCTGCCACAAACTATAAATCTTTTGGTGTTGTAGCTGGCACGTTGCGTTTGTGTAGCTGAGGAGTTGGCTCCCTGAAGAGCTGGGCAACGTGCGAGGGTTCAGGGGCTGCGGCACAGCTGACCCTGGGCACGATGAGGTCACAGGTGAGGTCTGTGATGGGAGCCGGATGGCATTTATACTGCATTCATTTTGCGCGTGTGTCCAAGGAGTTGCGCTTTGCAATGTTCAAGCACAGAGCCAGTGCTCCAACGTTTCCTTAGCCCGTGGTCTGATCAGGAGAAGCAATTCAAACAATACACGTTGCCCAGTGACAGCTCTCATACTCGAACACGTACAATAGGAGCAGCTGCTACCTCTACGTGCATTGGACCGCTACTGTGATCCCACGCCTGTGAGAACACTTGCGGTGGCAGTAGCGGCTGCTTGGCCTCATCGAGGCATTGTTGGGTTGCGCTGTTGGACGAGGGGTAAGCTGCAGCTTAGGTTTGGAACAGTTCGGTCTATTGGAAGAATCTTTCTCTGCAGAAGCGGGCACCTACATGGAGCAAGGTTGTCAGTTCGCTATCATAGAATTCAAGACCCTGTCATGTTACATTGTGAGGAAATGCCACGACGATGGCGAGGCCTGTCATGGCTTTGTGCTTTAAAGCCCTCCGTGCTGCCCCGCCTCTTGTTGCACCTGACCGCTCATGGGTGGAACGCTTCAGGCTAGCGGCTGCATGGACCCTGTGGCAAACGAAGACACACGACTCTGGCTCCGAATCGTGCAGGAGATTTTGCAGGCATCGCGCTTCTGTGCCCCTCTCCCATAAAGATGAAGCAGCTTCTTGGGCAGGTGGTCAGGATTGAGAGCGCGCTCCTCATCGTGCAGTGTGGAGACGATCCGAATGTTCCACGCGAACAGGCCTGATGTGAATCATGAAGGCTAAGATGCGTAGCACCTGCCAAAAATCGTCGCAGGAGCCTTTCCCGGTCTTCCACTCGGAGGGTGGAGAGGGGGTTTGGAACATACCGTGGCTGAATCCTTATCACCTCCGTGCCCTGGCCAATGGTCTCCTCGATGATCGTCTTGCTCCTGAGCGCGTTCCATGGGCAGAGAAGAAGCGTGTGGTGTACTGGCGCGGTGCTCTCACATCGCCTGATGACATCCCTCCGTCAGAGGCCTTTTCAGGAGCTTTCCAGCATGGAATCTGAGACTTTAAATTCAGCTTGCTCCAGGCGCACCGGCTCCCTCGTTTTCGAGTCTTCAAGCTGGCTTCCTTGCGGCCAGAGCTGCTCTCCATCAGCAGTAGATTGTTTGTATCCTGTCAGACAGGATGCGAAACATGATCTTAAGGTACGATGTTGGTATCAGCAATGTTGACAATGTTCTTTTTGAAGCCTGGGGCATGCAGGCTCTCTGCTTGTGAGTGTTTCCAACGTCTAAGCAAGCAATGATCCACCCTTCTGTATCTTCGCCAGCTTGTCCGCCAGGTAGTGCGGAAGATTGCAAAGCGACATGGCGTTCGACTTACCCCTTATGAGGCCGGAACGAGTCGCATGAGGAAACCCTTCTTGTCGTAGACATGAGGACTTCAACTCCGTGGCCCCTGCGTATCGGTACTTGCTGAACCTGAACGGCGTTGTATCATCCTGGCGCCTCGCGAGCCTGCTTCGTTCCCTGGCAGTAATTTAACCCCGCCTCCATGCCCATGTGTGTGGAGCCTGGTGGTTGATGGTTGATGCAGCTCTGCAGGAACTGGCTCTGCTCTGCTTCTTCAGAGCTCAGAAACCCATGAAGCTTTGCACTGGGAATTGGTGGCATGGAAGCATCTCAGCTGCAGCTGAATTCGCATTCTAGGGAGCTGTCAGAGAAGGACGTTCAGGCATTATGCCCCAGTCTCGTCTGGCCTGGATGATCTTATGGAAGTCGTGGCAACACTGGAGAGTAATGAGACCCTTGCAAAGAACATTGCACAGGCAGGCCTGCCCAGGAAGTCCCTTTGATATGTACGCCATGAAACTTGCAGCGCCGCGGCAGGCAGGGGCTGATTTCTACAAGCAACGCATGCGGCCGGAGGTGCTTGCAAAATCCTGTCATAGCAATCTTTCACTTGGCGCCAGATGGACAGGACACTTACTGTTTGGTTCTCCGGACGCTGGAGGTATCCCAGGTTCCAGAGGCGCGCAGACGCTTGTGCTTCCATGATCTTCCATGTGTCAATGTGGATACACACAGGTGACCCTGCAAGACTTGGTCAGTCGTGGCTTCGTCCCGGCTCCTGGGCTAGAAGTGCTTTCTTCAGTTGCTGGGCAGCAAATGCAGCAGTCAACAGCCTTGACGCAACGTAGAAAACAGGAAAACTGAGTCTGAACCGATTTCGACGTACCTTGTGGAAGTAGCCCAGATCTCGCCCGAGTCTGCACCGACACTTCGTGAGCGGCTGGAAGGGCGGCTAGAGCTCTGATGCCGATGCGTACTTGATCTTGGCCCGCATGTTTGGCAAGCTAGAGTTCCTGAGTTCCTGGACGTGCCAGCCTTGCACCGTCCGCAGTGGAAGCAGTGCGACATGGTGCGGCGTGCTCATGGAGTCGCAGACGGAAAGCGGCATAGCGGAAAGAGGAGCTGCAGAAAGCGGTGCTGCAGAGCCTGGTCTTCGGCTACACGTATTGACCTACGACCTCTGCATCCACACCATGCCTTCACTGAGCATTGGACTGCTGCCGAGGCTTCAAGCGAAGGACTGGTCAAGACGTGACATGAGGCAATTTCCCTTGTTCATCTTCGCGGTGGCCGGCCAATTCCGCCTGATGAAGGAGTGCCACATTCCGCCTGTGTACAAAAGGGATCAGGTGTTGGGATGCCAGCAAAGGTGAGAAGTTTAGCGAGCAAATACTTCCCATAAATGCTTCAGAACTTCGGCCCGAGAAGAAGTCATGCCAAAGCATCAGTCAATACGGTGACAACATTACCGCAACCATGACAAGAATAGGCGCAGGATGGCGCAGGAAAAGGATCAACACTTCCTGGCTAAGGAATTGAAAGTCACCTGCAAAGCAAATGGATGCCTCAAAGCAGCAACGCCACTATCCACCACAACTGTGCACCTGCATTGACATGCATCTTCAACTTGCCAGGCTGCATGCCAAGGGCAAGAGGTGCATCTTCGGCCATGGTGTTCAGCCCTCGGTCTTGGAGTATTCTTGCCTGAGCTGGCAAATGAGAGCTTATGTAGAGTTCCTGGTTCTGTGAAGCGCAGATGATGCAGATAGTAGAATGTTTTGTGCACCTTTGTCGTTTGTCTTGAGTCTTGAGCTTGTCGGACAGTTATGAGCCCGGTGAACATTCTTCCTACTCCCAGCTGAGCTACTGCGCATGTCATCACAGAGACAGGAGACATTGCAAGCAGACACTCTACAGGCCCAACCTGGAGAGATACGCCTGCACCAGAATCTTCACCATCCGACGCTTGACAACGTGATCCGTCTCTTCTTTTTGAAGCTTGGATGTTTGTGACGGAACGTGACTGATATTATCTCAGGAACATCGTCGAATTGATTGATGCCCGGCGCCCGGGTGAATGTAATTAGGCAGTTGAGAGATTTGAGGGCAACTCGGCAAATCCCGCGGCCTGCGCCTGAATCCGTGTGCAGAGCCAAGCTTGAGATGGCTGAGACATTCCACGATGACAGCAGCAAGATGGTGTCCCTGGTGCTTGAGTTCTGCAAAGGCGCGATGTTCTACTCACGTCTTTGGCAGGCATGCTCCTGCCATCCCACTATGATTCCACATTCGAAGGTGGAGACCTCCTGGAAGTAATGTCACGCCATCGTGAAAAGAACAGCAGAGGCATGGTCAGTACTTGTGCTTTCCCAGGAAGACTTAGAATTTCTGATGCTGCAAGGCCTTAGAGAGTCTGCTACCAGAAGAGCCATGAAACACACGTCGGAGCCTTGAAAGTGCGGGAGCCAATCCCTGGAATGGCCTCGACTAAAGCGACATGGCCGAAACTTGTTGGAGACTGCAAGGTTTCAAGCGCTGGCCTACCTTCATGAGCAAGGCAGGGCCCTTATGGCCTCAGCACTCCACACCCGGCAACAGCATTGGCCAAAATATTCACCATCGCGGCGCTCGAGCAGTCATTGCATCAGATGTGAATCCATCGCAACTTGCTGACAGGCATGTCTGGAGCCCCTGCATTTTGTATCGTTTCCCTGCTGAGTTCCAGTGCAGTTGCCTCCTGCTAGAACCTGATAGGCGTTGTGCATCGAGACGTAAAGTGCGAGAACGTGTTCAAAGTTGAGGTCTGCCGGCTGCACTGCCAGAAGACAGTAATTTGTCATCCACAATCAGATCTTCCGTGCCCGGACTATCTTGCAGGCGCCCAACACTGTTGCCCTCGAGGATTGCACGTACAAGCTGGGCGATTTTGGCCTTGCTGCGTGCGTGATGCCCGACGAGGCATGTGTGCTTGGAGATGCTTCTCCTTCCGCAGATGCTTCAGGGAGTTCAGCATGCTGCGAAGGTGTTGATGGACCAGGTGGGCTCTCCTTCAACTTCAGCACCGGAAGTTGTGCGAGGGTGGCTTGGCTTCGCCCTGCTTTTGTGCCGTAAAGACATTGACCTTGCCCTGAGGCGCCCCTACGGCAAGCCTGCAGATATGTGGTCTGCAGGAGCTGCTTAAAGCACGCAAGTGTATGGACCGTGAAGATCAGCAAGCCTATGTTTAATTTGCTCAGCACCCCTCCCAAAACAAGCTGCGAGAGCGCAGCAATAGCAGGTCAGTTGGCAAGCATGCCATCTTCCGAAACTTCGGACTTGTTCCTTCTACTTTTTGATTTGCTTGCAGCTCTGCAGGAGGAGCTCGTGAGCTATGAAAGCCTTTTAACTTTTCAGCCTCAAAGCCCTACTGGAGTGATAAGGTTTTCCGGGGTAGCTGCTGTTTTGTTTTTCATCTCTTTGGCAAGTCGCTGGCATTCTCAGAGCGTGCATTTGCATGTGAATCGATGAAATGCCGGTTGAACAATGGAAGAAGGAAGAATAAGAAGGCTGCTTGCAGAACACGCAGGAGCTGCCATCTACACGCTCCTTGCGGGCAGGAGGCCCTTTGAAGCCGGCAGCTCAGCTTTTCTGTCTGAGAATGACAACCATGTCTAACATTGCCCTGAGGCCTCCAGCTACATGCAGATGGTCAGGGTCATGAGCAAGGCTCCAGGGTAGAGAGCTCGATCTGTTGGATTTTGTTTTTGTTGCGTGGGACGTGCTGGCATGTGCGGATTGACGGGTCCGAGGGTTGACACTTCGATTTGCCCACACGCTCACACCGGGTTTTTGAATTCTTGGTTCGACGCGGACCACACCGATTCCCGTGGGCGGGAGCAGCGTGCGCCGGTATGCCATAAATTCACCTGCGGTGATGTGATGTGTCGAACCACGCCCTGGCAGTGGTATGATATCTTCAGGGGTGGATCTGCAGCGACGTAATGCGTCGAACGGCAAAACAAAGGTTTTCTTTGCAACTGCACCCTCATCATACATTTCAGCTGCGATACGTGCTTAGCATGCTTGGACATTTTTTTGCAGAACAGGGCTAGTTTCGAACCAGAAAATGATGTCATCAAATCAGAGGGTATGCTCAGGATACATTAGAGAGATCATAAAGCCCGCAAAATCCATCAGCATCCTATTGCATTAGATACTAAGCCACAATCGCTCCAGCGAAATGGACCAGATCGTTTGATACCCCTGCAGCTCCTGTAACATCATGCAAATTCCATCAACATCCGGTGACTCTTCATGCCAGGGCCACCCATTTCGACCTTCACTGTTTCGGTACCCAAACCACTGCAACAAACAATCCAGCATCATCTGAAATGATTTGGACGGAGAGTGAAATGCCTGTCGATCCGTTTCCAATGCTGAATGCCGGGTTTGTTGCTTTGCAGAATGTCGGAGTCCCTGTGTCCGTACCACCCATGCAATACCACCAAGCTTTCCTGGTAAATGTAGTTCTACACTGAAACTGTGAGTGAAACACTTGCGTGGACATCTACATAAGCTATGCAAGCGCCAAGAACCTCGTAGAACCTACACTGGGAATCCAGGAGGATCCTGAACATTCAGAACAACAAGTCGACAGCATCAACATCAACCTGGTGTTGAAATCTTCTGCTTGCCGAATGAAAGCCTCTGACATCGTATAGTCTCCTACAGTGTCCTAAGATCAATCAAAGCGTCACTAGCATAAGGGCCAACAAACTTCACCCTGCACGATTTGCCCAGTCAGCATATTTGAAATCATGACATTGCATGCAGCGTCCACAGGTTGAGGTGTCCTTCGCTGATGATGCCTGGTCCCGAACCTCGAAGGCCAGCTCACGGGCTCCACATCCTGCTTTGGTGAGCACACGCTTGCACATGCTTGAAAGTGAAAACAGTTGGCACGTTTCCAAGTGTTTTTTGAATGCTGCTGAGCTTCATGTGTTCACCTGTTCTGGAGACGGTTTTGCATCTGTCTCTCTGGTGTACTGATTTGCGCGACAAAGCCCTGCCCTGAAAGATGAGACGGCGTCAGTTGCTGACGCTGCATGAAAGGTTGCAGTGGACCTTTTGGGCGAGCTCTTGCAGGAAGTGCCAGACAAACGGTCTGGTGCTCAGCAGGTTTCTAGAGACCACATGGCACTGGAACCTGATTGCCAACGAGCATGATCGTGGCCACTGCTATTCCATGCGCAGTGGTGACACTTCTCCAATACTTGTCGCAGGCATGTTAGGGCTCCGCATACGGTACAGCCTTTGGCAAACTCCCTTTGGTTAGCCGCCATCCCTGGATGAGGCCTTCATCTGCAAGCGTCCTTAAGCATCCGTGGCCCGCAACTTACCCGCCATCCAGCATTGCAAACTAACACGCACCCTCCCAAATGCTGTGGCTTATCGATAGGTGCCAGCGAGAACATCGTGCCTGCACAACCTCCTAAGGCAGGGTGCTTAAACAGGGCCGTCGACAGGTCAGGAAAGCTGGCATGGCTTGAGGGTGGCCGGAGGGTTAGACATGGCTTGAAAACCCGCAAATCATTGATGGAGGGGATAGGAGTTTAAAAGCCTTTAGAAGCACCAAAAAAACGTTCTAAGCATCAAAAAAGTTCGCCCAGCTAGAGCCACCGTCGCGGTACTGTATTCTAGTACAGGTTTCTGGCCGTGACCCTCCACTGTGATGTGTTCGGGTCCGGATCCTTTTTTCAGTTAGATTTGTTCACATCTGGACCCTTTGTGGACTGCTTTGTAATTCTGATTATTTCTGTGTGTAAGCATCGCAAAGAATCTTTTCAGCATCAACAACAACTCATGCCTTGCTTATGCCCTATCTCCTGGGCAGTACACCAGTCCGGAATGTTTTTCTTGATGCTCGGGCTTGGGCAAGACAGAGGAGTCATCAGTTTTCATCAGCTTTGATAATTCTCTTCATTGTTTCATCATACTTCATTATCTCTTCGTGATATTACGTGATCTTTTTAACATTTGTCTGATTTCTCATGATGCTTCATGATTTTGCATATTTTCATCATTTTCCGGCTTTCGTTACTTGTTCATCGGTTTGATAATTTTCATAATTGTTCTTTATTTTCATGAGTCTCATCCATCTTAAAGGTCTTTCATCATTTTTCACCATTTTCCATGTAAGAACATATTTGTCCATAATTCTCATCCTATTTGATCATGTTCATCTCCTTCCCATCGTTAATCACATCACATGGCCAAATCAAAGCGGCGGAAGAAAGCACATGTGCTAATCTTCGTCCAGGTTTTTCACCCAAGTATTTGTCGTCATATTTTTTCTCAGCATGATTTTTCCATCAGTTTCATTTTTTGTTAATCATGCTCATTGTTCTTCACGTTTTTCGCCATGTTCATCTATTTCCACAACGTTTCATCATCTTGCATTGTTTTTCATTATGCTTCATGCTTGCTTTTCCTGATTTTGTTATGATTTTCATCATTGTTTGTCATGTTCATCAGGTTTCACCATTTCTCAGCATTTACAATTTGTCATGCTTATTCATGCTTTTCCTGTCTTTTTCCTGATTTTCACGATTTCCTGATTTCTCATGATTTTTCATGATTTTCATCATGTTTCTTCATTTATCATGTCGTTTCATCATTTTTAATTTTCCAGTCTCTTCATGGCGAAATCAACAGTTTCCATTATTTTGATGGGTTTTCTTTTGTCCAGCATTTTTTCATTCTTTTTAACTAGTTTCCACTACTTTTCATAATTTCCCAAGCCTTGCATTGTTTCATTTTTTTATTTTCTGTTGTTTACATGAACCGCTACTACGCGCTGGGCGTATTTTTTATGCTTATAAAGTTCGTTTTTTCCCTCACGCATGACGGAGCCTTTTAGTCCTTTCTCCTACTTGGACTTGCATTACTGGTACTTGTACTGGCACTGGTACTTGTACTTGTCGTCGTAGTTGTTGTGGTGGTCGTGGTCGTGGCCGTGGTCGTGGCCGTGGTCGTGGCCGTGGTCGTGGCGTGGCCGTGGTCGTGGCCGTGGTCGTGGCTGTGGCCGTGGTCGTGTTGGAGGTTGCTTTCTTGTTGTCGTTGTGGTTGTGGCTGTTGTTGTGGTGGTTGTTGTTGTTGCTGCTGCTGCTGCTGTTGATGTTGATGTTGCTATTGCTATTGCTGTTGTTGCTGCTGTTGTTGCTGTTGTTGCTGTTGTTGCTGCTGCTGCTGCTGTTGTTATTGTGGTGGTGGTGCTGCTGGTGCTTGTGCTTGTGCTGGTGCTGGTGCTAGTGCTGGTTTTGGTGCTGGTTTTGG